GTGCCCCATGCACCCATATAACCCGCCAGCCTGCCCTTCGCCCAGCCCCACGGCCCTCTCTGGGGTCCCAACCCCCTTACAAAGGGGAGCAGAGACACCCAAGGCTTCCCCCCTGCGCACCCCCCTTTGCCCACGCTGCCCAAATCACCCTCCAAACTGACCCATACCCCACTTTTCCAAAAGCTCCCCCTCTTCTTCCCCGTGTTTCAGCCGCTGCGTGCTCCCATCTTGCATCCCTGGATCTGGAAAACCGGCTGCTGGTCAGAGCTGATGGAAATGTCCTGAATCAGCCCCGGACCACGCTCGAGGAGCGCGCCCTGACACCCGGGAGAACCACGTTCCGTTCGTGGCCGGAGGCACCGCGCTCCCGTGTGTCCTCGCCCCAACGACAGGCCACGTCGGCTGCTTTGTCAGGGGAAGTAATTGCTTCTGTGCAGTAATTAATACCAAAATGAGAGCGCCAAAGCCACAGCTCCTCAGAGGTTTCGGGCATGCTCGGGGTTATTCCCATCCTGCTGCAGCTGAAAAGGAGCGCAAGCGTGCGGGGTGCGGGCAGGGGCTTGGGCTGCCCGCGCAGGGCACCCTAGGTGGGCCCTGGCTGGGAAGGTTCACTGGTCCGAAGGCCAGCAAAATTGGTCTGAAGGCTAGCAAAACTGGTCTGAAGGCCAGCAAAACTGGTCCGAAGGCCAGCAAAACTGGTCCGAAGGCCAGCAAGGGGACCCAGCACTGGTTCATGCAGCAGGATGAGCGTAGCCTTGTCTCAGGAGACAGTTTTCTCCCCGGGCCCTGCCCGGGCACGTTACAGGGTGCACGAGCCTGGAGCGGCAGCAAGGAGCAAACCGTGGCTGCCAGGCACGGGGCCAGACCAGAAATCCTCACGTCCTCCCCGCTGCGGGCTCTGCCGAGCGCCGGGAGGCAGGCGGAGCGCAGGCAGGCAGGCAGGGCAGCGCCTCTGGGCACATGGAGGGAGGCTTTCCGTTCCAGAGATCTTCAGAGGTGGCTCCTGGCTGCGTTTCTGGATGCTGAATGGGAACGTTTGGGATTTGGATCTTGGCGCCTTCGTTGCAGGATGGACGCTTCAGCAGCAGGACTCTTGGCACGAGGCAGGAGGACGTGGGACTCGGAGGCCAGAGACAGAGCCTGGATGGTGGCGGCTTTGCGGGAGGGATCTGGAGCTTGGGGTTCTGATGGAGATGGCACAGAGGAAGCACGCTACCGGGGGCTGTTAGTGCGGAAGCGTGCGTGCACGGAGCAAGGACGGAGCTACCCCTCTGCCTCTGGGTCCCCTGAGCAGAGCCAGGCTCTAGTGCAGCTGGGTGCATCCCAGCCCATGTCCCTGTGGGACTCCCAGGGCTGCACCCATCCCACACCCAGCTCCCGCTCCTGCAGAGTTGATTCACAACCTCCATCATCACCCTCGAGGGCAGCTCTTCACCACCAGCCTCGGCCAGACCCGGTTGGGGAGGAGAGAAATGAGTCAAAGGGCAATTAAACATTAACAGCAGGCGGTCACCACAGGAGGACAGCTCACAGGGCTTCCTTTGTTCCAAAGGAGGGGTTTTAATTTATAAAAATAACACAACTTAGAAGGGCACCGGCATCGCTAGACGTGACATGCGTGCGTAATCGTCTCCAAACATCCGGTCAGCTTGGTAAACAGACAGGAGAAACCCCAAAACCGGCAGCCAGTCACCTGAGGAGCAAAGAGGAGGGACCGGGCATGGCACAACAGACGTGGAATTGCCCCTGAGCAGCAGGAACCGAGGAAGCCTTTAAACTACTCCAGGCACTGAGATCTCACCCCCAAAGCCAAGTGCACCATTCAGCAACTGGATCATTTACCTTCCTCGATGGAAAAAGAATACAGAGAAATAGGTTTGAAGCTAAAATTAAGTGGTTTGCTCCACCAGACAAGTGGGGAGGTTTCCAGTGAACTCCACAGCGTTATAAAACGTGTGGAACAAGAACCCATCAGCGTAACTTGCCACAGCTCCAATGCCTGTCCTGCTGATCTCCCCCAGCCCAGCTTTCTACACATCTGGGAGAGAAAAAACAGTTATTTTAAACATTAACCTCTTGTAGCAACATCTGCCCTTGGTTATTTCTACACCAGAGGAGCAAGAAGTGCTTCCCAGCAGGACAGCCTACTTCTTCTTCCCAGCAACCCAGCACCAGAAACCAGAGCAAGAGCAAAATGATACTGGCTTTAAAGTCCCTTAATGCTTGCTGCCAAAAAGAGGGAGGGATCTGTTGTTGATCTATGATATATTTTGAAGGGGAAACACAGAAAAGCTGCCTTGAAGTGGGGGAAAAAAAAAAAATATTGCACTGACCATAGGAGAAAACACTTTTAAACAGGATACTTGTGAGGTGGGGTAGGGATACACACACACACACACGCACACGCTCAGTGGCTTCCATTTCGTAGCTTAGTGTCCTGTCCTTCCCTGCCAAGCTCATACAGCAGCAAGGAAATAAAATTGGGTCCTGACAAAACCACGGGACCCCAAGGGATCTCCCATTTGGCTCACCTAAAAGCCTGGCAGCCATCACGGCTCTGACCCCGCTCAGGATCACAACAACCAGATCCCAAGCCTCTGCAAACGCTTTTTGGGGTGACCAGCAACGCTCCCCTCTAAATCAACAAGATCATTCAAAGGAAACAGCGGCTGTGACTCGGAGGGAGCAACCCGCACCCACCCGCTGATCGGCAACCCGTAACACAACCAGCAAAGCAGGGCGACGCGTTGCTGCTGCGAGAAAAGAGGGTTGGGGGAGAACGCGGCCCCTCCGCTGCTCACTGAACCCGAGAGCGCGGCGGGGCCAAGCGCGCAGGCAGATCGCAGGCACCCACGCAGCTCTGCGGTGCGGGCGAAGCTCGGGGGACGACGCTGGCTGAGGGGAGGAAGGGCAGAGCTGACAGGAAGCCATGGTGGGGGCCGAATTGCCTCCTCCTTGGGTCAGCATCCTCCTCCTGCCTGTAAGTAGCCAGGGCCACCCACAGCCGAGGACAATCCCCCCCAGGGGCTGGTGGCACCTCCCCAGAGCTTGCCAATGCGGTGTGAGCAGAGGGCTGGGAGAGAAGGAGCATATGGCTCGAGGGCCTTGCAGCCTTGGGGGCTCTTCCTGATGCGTTGAGCTCAGGGAGGTGGAAGGAGGTGGTGGTAGGAGACTCGGGGCTGTGATGAGAAGGCGGGTGCCCGGGGGAGAGCCCCAGTCCTGCCGAAGGGACTGTTCTTGGCACCGTGACGGCCTGGGGAGGAAGGGGACAGGCCGGGGAAGACTGGGACACTCTTGGAGCCAGTTTCTCCCTGCAGTACCAGCGAGGTTTCCTCAAGCAACCCGCCCTTTTCCTCACTGCCAAAAGCAGCATCGCCTGGTGTCAGGTAGAAGGAGCCAGCTTTCACCTCGCCCCGGCGCTCGGCAGCCTGTGCAGCTTTCAGCACGGGCAGCCTTGCAGAGGTGGCTCCAGGATAACCCAGAAGGACTGACAACCCACTGCCCCTCCTGGGGATCCTCCACCCATGAAACCAATGCTTTCAGGTGCAGCAGCTTTCGAGTCAGATCTCAGCTCAGTCCTCGCTGCATCCACAGGTTAGAGCCACGCATCCAAACCTGTCCACGACTGGTAACTCCCACGGGAATAACACAGCCGGGAAGATGGGGACCTCAGTGCTTTCAGCACTTAGACCAACCACGACCTGGGGCCACGGATGCAGGGAGGGTTCTGGGGTCCCTCTCCCCTCCTCAGCACTCTGCCCTTTTCCACCACATCGCAAGCGCACTACGGTCGGACGCAGTCCTGCTTCCACGGCTGGTGCTGGGAGCGTCTGTGTGTCCATGCCAGCGGTAAGCGTGAGGAGGAGAGGGGTGCCCCACGGCCGTACGGCTGCCTGGGAGCTAGCTGGGAGGAGGGGAAGGTTTCCAGCTCTGAGTGGTTCTGTTGCCTACTTGATGTTTTTGAGAAGCGCGGTCCGGGCGTTCACTACTGCTTTGAAGGCGTCCTCGCTGCCGGGAGCCACGCACTTATCGGGGTGGAGCAGCACAGCCAGCTTCCGATAGGCTTTGTTCACTTCATCCCTAGGAGACACGACAAGAGTGAGAGGACCCACGCGACACAGGAGCCAGGAGCTCCCCCTGTGCTAAACACCCCTGCGTAGACACTTTTGAACCCTTCCCTTGCTGGCACTAAGGACCTCCAGGCTTTGGAGGCAATGCTATGGAGAAAAAGCTGAAGAAAAGCACACAGGGCACTTCTTGGGGTGGGAGGAGGGGGAGAACCCCTCTCCTGGGGCAGATACACCCTCTCCACCACGGGACTGTGCCAGCACTAACGCTCCCATCATGCCAGACACGTGCCTGCGACACGTGCCTCGGCGTGCTGAGTCTCTGGCACCATGAGAGCAGAAAGCTGGGAGACAGCGTGGGGGCACACGCACCCTGACTCAGCTTCACATCAAACCGCCTACGCGCTCCGGGTGAAGGCACTGCACATCACTTCAGCCCTTTAAGCCTTGGGTGTCTGGTCCAAGGCAGACATCTCGACTCCAGCTGCAGGCTGGGAGAGAGGGGGGCACCTCCTGAGGGAGGTGAGTCCGTCCGTGCCGGCGATGGCAGCACAAACTGCCCTGCAGAGCTGCTGATCTCTCCCTGTGGATGAAAGCGAGCTGGAGGAGGGGTTAGGCTCAACACCTACATTTCAGGGAGCCAACGGGAGGACGTACGAGTCCTGAATGGTATGTGTTATCCAAAAATCTACTCTCCAGCCCCTCCATAAGGAGTACAAAAGGGTGGTCCTCATGTTTCAGAGAGAAGAAACGAAGGCATAGCTCTGGGAGCTTGTTTTAGCTGCCCAAGTCATACAGCAAAACTGGGAGATTCAACATCCAACCTCTTACACAGGCAATGACCAATTCCACCTGACTAGAGGTCCTCTGAGGAAGACAAGAGAAAGCTTGTCTTAGAATCACAAAATCACAGAATGGTTTGGGTGGGAAGGGACCTTTAGAGGCCACCCAGCCCAACCCCCTGCAGTGAGCAGGGACAGCTTCAACCAGAGCAGGGTGCTCAGAGCCCCGTCCAGCCTGACCTGGAGTGTTTCCAGGGATGGGGCCTCCACTACCTCTCTGGGCAACCTGTGCCAGTGCTTGACCACCCTCATTGTAAAAAATTTCTTCCTTATATCCAGTCTAAATCTATTCTTCTTTAGTTTAAATCCATTATTCCTTGTCCTGTCCTTGTCCTTGTCTTGTGGAAGTACCATTTCCAGGTGGAAGAGCTGTAACATCAATCCCTTTTTGATAATGTGGGCAGCAGCCTTACAGCAGCCTGAAAGCTTCTCCAGACCTGGAGAGCAAGGAAAGTAAAGTTCAGAGCCACTCCAAACACGTCTGGCAAGCGAGCGACCAGAGACGGCTCAGTCTGGAGGCAGGATGCAGGGCCAGGCAGCTGACAGGGCTGAAGTTCTCACGTTCATCACTCCTCCCTTGCCTGCAGCCTGGCTTGTCTGTTAAAAGGGGAAATTTGGTGCTCAGGACTGAGGGTTTCTTTTGCATTGCCTCAATTTTGTGGCTAGATATGTGTGCCCAGCTGCTCTATAAACCAAGCTGAGCTTATCAACAGGCAGGTTGATAAAAGGTCACAGATGCAACCAGCCTGCCAGGTGAGAAAGATTACAGCCAGGCAGGCAAATGCTGAAGTTTCCCTCACCTTGTGGCTCCGGGTTTGACCGCCAGCATGTCCCAGCTGTCCTTGCTGTTGCGGATCCTGCGAATGGCATCTGCCTGCTCTTTGGTGAAGCCAACCCCCATGCTGGAAGGAGGGCGCTTCCCACCGTTGTCACACAGGTCAATGATGGCGGAGTAGAAAGTCTGTGGACACAGGGAGGAGTTAGCAGGAAGGAATGGTCCCCAAAGGCGCTGGCAGTGCATAGGAGACCCCACTGCCCTCGCTGGCTGTGGGCTCATCCTCCGAAGCACGGGGGAGCATTTGCACCACTGCTGAATGTTCACTCCCCACTGCCTGGGCTGTGGGGGGCTGAGATACCCCACTCTCGGGGGGATCCAGCCCCTGCAAAGACCATGGGACAGACTGAGGAGGCGGCCAGGCCCCACATTTATCTCAAACCCACTTCAGCTCAGTGCTAGACCTGACGTGGGCAACCCTGCTTCGTGTTCCCAGAGCAGCAAGAGGGATCATCAGCTTTGAGCAATGCAATGCTAGGGCCAGCTCAGGACTGGGAGGACCAATAAGTGATCCTGAGCTAAACAGCTACGGCTTTCTCAGGGCGACATTTCACTGGGAAGACACCTCTGGGGCAGAGGGCCAACAGATTTTGTGGGATCCAGGCAGTTCAGGAGACATTCTGCCATCAAATCCTGGCTCAGTGTGGTGTCTGTGCCCTCACCACCTCCACTATGCCTCACCTGAAACATCTCGTTAATTCCTTCTCCTGTTTGTGCCGATGTCTCAAAGTACAGAAAGCCCCGGCTCTCTGCCCAGAGCCGCCCCTCGCTTTCATCCACACTGCGGTGCTTCGTGCAGTCGATCTAGACCAGGAGAAAAGGCAGAGATCAGAGCTCAGCCAGGGTCTGCAGTGGCAGCTGGAGGAACACAGCTCCAAGGCCGATCATCTAATAAGGAGCATGTCTGGTTGGAGAGGCTGTTTGCTTATCCTGAAGGGATGGAGGCAGCGTGGAAAGAAAGCACAGAAAATTCAAGTGAAAAGGCCTTTGGGAGTTTATCTAGTCCAGAAACGATGTCACCTCTACTTGGATCCCTTCCTGACTGCTGCATGGCCACCACATTCTCAAAACCCCATTGAAATGCGGTCTCCAGTGCTCCTCACACACAGATCTGGCTCTTAGAAAGTCTTCCCTACAACCTAACAACATTTCCCTTGCTGCAGCTGGAGCTCAACAACTTGGGCTCAGGCTGGGAACAGAATGAGCCCCAAGAGCCAGAGATTGGGACCGCACTGCAGCCCACCTTGTTCGCACAGACAACGAAGACAATGTTCTCCATGTTCCCGTGAGGGCCCAGCTCCTGCTTCATCTCAGCCAGCCACGCGTCCAGCGCATCGAAAGACTCCTTTTGTCCGACGTCGTAGACCAGGATGACCCCCTGTGTGTCCTTGTAAAACTCGTTCCTCACCTGCGGGGACAAAGGCAAGGCACTAGCATCAGCGACAGCCAGGCTGAGAGCACACGGCCTGGCAGATCTGGGGGATCACCATTTACCTGGCACCTCTTAGATTCTGTGATTAAAACCTTATCCACACACAAACAGAAGATCACAGAAAAAGGACAGATGGAGGAACCCAAATAATAACCTGACCACACTGCCCCCAGGCCCATCACAAGAAAGCGAGCAGCCCATAAAAGATGCTTCTCCACACATACACAGAAAAGCACAGAAGCACAATGGCGGAATGTGTCAGACCAGCTCCTGGGGAGACTGGAAGTTCTGGAAGTCAACCAAGAGACCCATTTGCACGTGTGCGTTTCCCTGTGTGTGAGGCAGCAGGGCAGAGCAAGCAGCTGAAGGGGGCTGCAGCCTCCAGGGCTCGTACGCTCAGTGCCAGCAACTGGGGAGAACAAAGATCCCCAGGACAGCTGCTGGATGAGGGTCTAAGGTCAGCTAAAGGACAGATATTAGAATAGAATAGAATAGTTCAGTTGGAAGGGACCTTCAAGGATCATCTAGTCCAACTGCCTGCCCAATTCAGGGCTAACAAGTTACAGCATGATATTAAGGGCACTGCCCAAATGTCTCTTAAACACTGACAGACTTGGGGCATCGACCACCTCTCCAGAAAACCTGCTCTAGGGTTTGACCATCCTCTTGGTAAAGAAATGCTTCCAAATGTCAAGTCTGAACCTCCCCTGGCACAGCTTTGAACCATCACTGGATAAAAGCTGGCTGGGTGGCTGAGCCCAGAGAGTTGTGGTGAATGGGCTTAAATCCAGTTGGCGACCGGTCACGAGCGGTGTTCCCCAG